AGACTTTGTTTGGATGACAACATGATTACATTTATCTCTCTGCCTCTGTCAATATCTCTCTCAGTTTGAGATAGAAATTAAACTTTCTGTGAGTTTCCACGGCAGAGCCAAAAGAGAATACAATTTGCATTGGGAAGTACAAGGGGTTTGGGAATTGGGGAAAAGACCATTTATTTTAAATGTAAATGAATATTATTGTTAATTTTTTTTTTTAACAGAACAGTGGGTCAAAATTGTTTTATATGGGGATGGGTTTATTGGGTTTCAAAGCAAATCTTTTACTATTTTTTCCTATTTTTAATATTAACAATAACATCTGCTGCTTGCTTTTTTTTTTTTTTTTAAGTTTTGAGATAGATAAAATCATTAATTTTTTAAATCAATGTAAAATATTTCATATATCATAATTTAAAATAAAAAATAAAAAATTATATATTTTAAATAATCTTAATAAATGATTATTAATAAATTTTAAATTAAATTTTTTTAATAAATTTTAATTAATAGAGTCAATCAGTCGATAATAACAACTACTAGAAGTGTCAAAATCAAAGAAGAGCATTAAAAACAATACCTTAATATAACTTTTTTTTTCTCTCTGTCTGGGGTCTGTAAATTGCAAGTCCAAAGAAGTGAGTAATCCCAAAGGCATGTCTTATAGCCTTTTGTTTTCTTGGTCAAAATAAACTAAAATTAAAATCTTCGACCAAACCCAAATCACGCCTGTCCTTGCCTTGTTCTCTGTCAGGTTTGGACCCTTTGTTTTTTTTTTTTCTTAAAAAAAAAAAAACCAAGCCTCCAAGGTTTTCTAGAGCTTGTCTTTCATTTATTTATAGAAAAAAGGTCATACTCCTCTCATCTCATTGGTATTTTTGCTCTTCCTTCCCTTTCTCTCCCAGTCTCTCTGGCCATGTGTTAATGGAAAATAAAATATTGGAACCACCATTTTGTTCTTTCTTCCTTGAAAGATGATTCATTTAAATGAAAATGGTTACAATTAAAACGCCTGGTCCAGCCATGAAATTGAAACTTAAATGAAGTCTCTAGCTAGACAATCTCACTTGTTGATCTCGTATCATCCTCTTCAGCTTTCATATGTATACAAACTAAATGCCACTCTTTGGACAAGATCATGAACAGAAATAAAAAATGCAGAATTAGCATCTTTTAGTTAAACATAAAAAGCGGTTTTCATGTCTAATACTACCATATTTATAGTATAAAATTGCTTTGCATGTGGCCCCCGAAGCATGTTGAGGTCACATTTGCTTTCACTCAGCTTTTGTTTTTGTCCCATTTCTGGTTTTGAAATGATTTAAACAACAGCTGGTTTCTATTAATCCCTTGATATTATATTGCAACTTGGCACATATCAAACTTCAACTCGGATCATCATGCGTTTTTCCTCTCTCTTTTAATTAATATTATATTATATTCCCGAATCTTATTCAATTTGGTGGAAATTTCTTTTAGATTTTGGATTCAAAATTCAATGTGAATTTAATCAAATTTTATGTGAATTTTTTTATTTGTTTCTTTCATAAAATATTTGGTTATAATTATAATCTAATAAAAAAGAAAAAGTTTAAACCTGTATCCAATTTCATATGTCATCTCTTTCTCTTTATTATATCTTGATCAACGCAGCTATCCAACACGGTTCATGGTTGACTAGGCTTTCCATGAGAAGTGTAAAGCATGGAGCATGAACTTAAGCTATAGGATGAAGAAGTTAAAAACCTTGGTTAAACTCAAAATATACTACTAATAAAATATATGCAGATATAACGCTTGTAATTAGTTGGAGTTTGGGCTCCACTCATGGCTTCCATTAGTAAATGAAATAGCCCCGAGACCCGAGAAAAAGAAAAAGAAAAGGCAATGCTTTTATGGAGAAAGAGCGTTGAGTAGTTTATGTGATTTTTTTTCGGCAACGAGAAGATGACAAAGATTAAGTAATGTAATTGACATCGCTAAACCCTAGAAAGGATTTAATTCAATAACACCTAGAGATACTTCTCACATCATCATCTTTGAAAAGTTTAATTCCAAAGGCCTATTAGGACACTTTAAAAGTTGGTCAAAACCCTAATTTGGGTTTGTTGAACATCGTTTATGTATAATTAATTAATATTAATTTTATCTTTAATTATTTAATTTAATGATCAAAATAATTTTAAAAAAGATATTAAAATTGAGGTTTGAACCTCAAACTTTTCTCTTTTTTTTTTAATATAAGGCTATACATCCCTCGAATGACAAAAAAAAAACCTAATGTTAATTTTATCAATTAGCTTGTCAAACATCAATGACAAGATAAGCAAAAGATTGAAAAAACAATTCTTAATACTTAGGTTTATTACCACAAATTTCGATACGTAGATAATCTAAAAATTATTATAATTACAATTAATTTATTAAGATTTTGATTAAAATATAAAATATAAATTTATTAAATGATATTTTTTGAAAATAATTAAGTAAATCAATTGCATTAATTAATATCAAGTTATTTTTTTCAAGCATGTTGCTCGCCCCGAACTCGACCCGATTTTTTGCTTATCAAACCCGACTCCGATCCCGACCCGAATTATTTTAATACCCGATTTTGACCCGATCTGACAATATGTAAACCGTACCCGATCCAACCCTACCCGAAATTAATAAAATATTTTTTTTTAAATATAAAATATTATTTTTTAAATATAAATATTTAAAAATATAATTATATAAATATATATATAAATAAATAATTAATTAATTAATTAAAAAAATAATTTTTTAATAATATCGGGTCGGGTAAGATCGGGTTTTAGGCAGACCCGAACCCGACCCGACCTCGAATATTACCTAAATTTACCCGATCTGACCCCGATCCGAAACTCAAAATTCAAAAAAAAAAAATCCGATCTTATAAGATCGGGTCGGATCAAAATCCGTCGGGGACGGACTTGATTGCCGTCCCTAAGCATGTCACATGCAAAAGAATTAAAAATGAAAAAAATATTGATTAGATAAATGATTAATAAGGTTTTAAGAGTGGGGGCGCAATTATCGAATATTCGCACGCATAAGACTAGTTGATTATAGTAATGGATTATTTGTTTGCTTTTAGGCATTGAGCTGTCACCCCTGCATGTGAGGAAATCTCGGGATTGAATCCCTCTGCACGAGCTTTGCAGCATTGATTTATTTTCTTTCTCTTCCCTTCAATCTTACTTCGATCCGATCTTACCAACCCAGAAAAAAATTATTATTGAAAAGAAAATGCGTTTAAACTTACCGCTCTCAAAGTATTTCGTAATCATTGTATAGCAGAAAATAATTGTACGAAATCGAAAGCAATGTTCAATGTCTCCATAACTTCCATTATTTCTTACCAAACAGAGTTTTGGAAATTGGAAAAAAAAAATGATTACTTACGCACGGTTTTCTTCCGAATGTCTTTCTATTTTTTTTCTTAGAATAATAAAAATTGTTAGTTTAAGGAAAATTAAAGATTTTATTATTTTCTTGAATAATTTTAAAAGCATATTTTAAATATTTACATGATTTTTTATGATTTTATTTTTGAAATAAATTTTAATTGAATTGTGGAAATCCCAGTACGGAACTTTCTAGAGATGGCGAAAAGAAAAACTATAGCTCATTGTTGTAGAATATATATATTTTTTGAAAATTTTAATTTATTTTTTATTTAATTTAAAAAATTTTACTTACATAAAATTTTGAATTTATAATTTTTAAATATCAATTGTAATAATACATTAATTAATTTAAAAATATTCGACCGCATGATATAAAAATTAAACATGACGAAAAAGAAATTGGCAAGTTGCATGTGTCAAATCGAGCACACAAGTGACAAAAAGCATTTTGACATCATGGCAAGTGCTAGTCCACAAATAAAAAATTTCATCAATATTTTTTTTATTATTTTATTGTTTTTTTACATTAATTTTATAAACTTGATTTGATTTGATTTATAAAATTTTTCATTACCAGTTTCGGCAAAGAATGATGCGGTGCACATGAAGGACGCAAAAAATTAGAATCAGAACAACAATAATACAGGAAGCTGAAGGCTGAAGCGGACATCGAGGGGGCATGGTTCAACTCCCCTGTTTTTATCACACCCCAATTGAGCCAGATTTGCTATGAAGAATCAAATCAAGTCTGCCTTTTTTTTTTTTTTTTTTAAATACCGGAATTAAAAGAGTTCATGGTTTCTCTTTATTTATTTTTATGTTGGGATATGTTAGTTTAACACCTAATTTTTTTTTAACTAAATGAATTTTTTTTTAATTTTAAATTTGATATTGAATTGGCCTGATCATTTAATTAAATTCAATTTAGCATTTCAATTTATTTCCAATCTTATTTGGGATTTTTATTAAAATTATGTTTGATCACAAATGTAATCCCTAAAAAGAAAATAAAATTGTAATTTAAATTTTCAGTTGTGAACAATTTGCTTGTATTAATTTCATAATTTTTGGTTTCGAACCCGATTAAGCTTGTTTCATTAATAAATTTATTTTTTATATTAAAAATAAAAATAAATAATTTTTTTTTAATAAAAATACTTGAGCGTGAATGCTAATCTCGTGATCTTCTTTCCTGGAAGGGCTTTACCTCCTCTAAACAAAAAACAAAAGGTAAACGTACGGAACTAATTAATTAAAAAAAAAAAACCGAACTATAAAATTGAGCACAATAGCCCAATAATGCTTAATATCGATTAACTTTAATCAGGCCGTTTAAATTGAGATCCATAGTTGCCTTTGGGCCAACTTCCCTCTCACCATTTTTAATCGAGCCCATTAATTGGGCCCAGAAATTGTAATTAATTCCCAATTTTCCACGCTCAAATTTGAACCCTTTTCCCCGAAACAAATTTTCGCTTTTTCACTGGTTCGTTACTCGTTAGAAGCTTAACTAAATTGTTTTTTTCCCCATTCTTCAGGTTAAAAAAAAAGGCTTTCTTTTTTCTCCATTAATTCTGTTCTTTGTCTTTTTTTTTTTTAACTTACACATGTTTTTCTTTGGGTTTTTTTTTTTTTAAGAAACCCTAGAAAAGATTAAGCTTTGGGGTTTTATTCTGCCCGTTTCAATTGGGGTTTTTTGAGTTTAATAATTTTCAATTAGGGTTACTAGGATTTTACTCCATCTGGGAATTTTCGGGTTTCTGCTGTGTTTAAGGTTTATAGGGGTTTTCACTATCTATTTCCTGTGGTACAATATTTATAGGGTTTTAGGGTTAGGGTTTCTACTGTTCTTAAGCAATTAGGGTTTTTTTTTTTTGTGCAAATTGTGGTAATTCGTGTTTTGGTATAATTGGGAATTTTATTGGTTTGGTTTTTTTTTGGTTTCAGTAGCTAGGGTTTTGGGAGCTAGGGTTTAGCAGAATATGGAATCCGATCAAGGCAAACTCTTTGTGGGAGGCATATCTCGGGAGACAACTGAAGCTACTCTCAAGGATCATTTCAGCAAATACGGCAACGTTGTGAGCTCAGTTGTAGCTAAAGACAGGAACACCAAAAGCCCTCGTGGTTTTGGCTTTGTTTTGTTCTCTGAACCTTCTTCAGCTGATAAAGCTCTTCAAGACACCCATGTTATTCTTGGGAGAACGGTCAGTTCAAAGCTCTCTTTCCTCACTCATTCACTCTCATTTATTTATGTCTGTTACTCTGTTTGCTTGCTCTGAAAAAGGGTGGAATCGAACTTAGGATAAGCTTTTAAATTGTTTAGGAAAGGATAACATGCAGTTATTTTGGGCTGTATAATATACTATTTATTTACTGGTTTTCTAGGTAGAAGTGAAAAAAGCGATACCCCGAAGTGAACAACACCAAAACCAACAGCAACAGCAGCAACCACACCACAATCCGAATCAACAACTGAATAGTGGGTTCAGTAGGAATGGTTGTGAAGCTGCTGACAGCAACAATCACTTTAGGACTAAAAAAATTTTTGTAGGGGGTTTATCTGCTAGTCTAACTGAGGACGAGTTTAAGAATTACTTTGAAAGATTTGGTAGAATAACAGATGTCGTTGTGATGCATGACAGCTCGACTAACCGACCTAGAGGATTTGGGTTTGTTACCTTTGAATCAGAGGAGTCTGTGGAGAATGTTATGCAGAAGAATTTTCATGAGTTGAATAATAGGCTTGTGGAGGTCAAGCGTGCAGTGCCAAAAGAGGGAAATAATGGCAGTAACGGTAATTATAACATGAAGACTGGTGTTGGAAGGGGATCTCCTTATAATGGTTTTCAGCCTGCTGAGTACTCTTCCAGTAGTCCTGGATATGGAATATTTCCCGGTTATGGTCCTCTTCTTGGGTATAATACCGTTGGGGGATATGTTTATGGAACTGGTGTTTATGGCAGTGGGTACCCGACAGTAGGCTATGAAAGGGTTGGTTATGGTGTCTCTCCAGTTACCCCTAGGGGCCCTTTGTATGCCCCTGTAATGCTTGGAGCAAGAGTTTTTCCTCTGCCTTATGGAACTGCATCAATCTATCCTTCGTATATGAATGGTGGAGTTGGTCTAATGGGTACAGCGACTGGTGGGTTCAATGGGATTATTGGAACTGGAGTTGATGGGAAATGGAATCAGGTTCGTGGTGGCTTTGGAGATCTGCCAGCAAATGCCATGCCACCTCAGATTGAAGGGGTTAACTTCGGTAGTGATCGTCCGGGTTTAAAAGAGCAAAGTGGTGGTGCTTCTAGTGAACAGGAACAGAAAGGTCTTGATGGACAACTTAAACCTTTAGATGCTTCTAGATGATTATTTGGCTCTTTTGGAGCTTTGAAGGGTTAGTAAATTCTTTAACTAATGGGTTAGGGTAGTTTAACCATCACTGTTCAGTATCCTTTTTAGATGTAATCTGTGTCATAAACATGCTGCATTGCTCTGTGTCGTAAACGTGCTGCACTGCTGTGTCGTCTTTAGTTTATGATTTGTCAGTACAAAATTCAGCATTCTGTAATATAACTGCATTTAGATTCAACTTCTCTTGTGCATTTTACCTCTCTGTTAGGCAATGTTAATAATGAAGCAATACAGAAGCATATTTGGATCTAAAAGGTTGCTTTCTCGGTCCTTTTTGGGCATTGATGTTGTTGTCATCCCATTGATTTTTACCAATTTCTCTCTCGAATCTTCCCCCAACTCCAAACTCAATCTATTGGTTCTCTTGCTCATATGATCAACAAGCACGCACAGGGAGAGACCCGCTTGTAGAAGATATAGCTGAAAGGTCTGCGACAATCGATAGCTTTACATTATATTTGGTACCACACCTTGCTTTAGCAGTGGTGAAAAATAATTACTCTATACTTTTACTATCTTTTCATTTCTCCTTTTAATAAATCTAATCGCATCATCAGATTTTGATTATTCAGTTTTATGGATGAGTAATATCGGTGGTAATGGTTTTTTAACCTTTTTCAAATGCTAAAATCTTACTTCTGGGACCAATCAAACCGGCGGACACAATTGCTATTCGGATGATCAAATCTGTAGAAAAAATTTCACCCCAAAGAATAATCCGTAGATAAAAATAGAAAGCCAGAAAATGCCTTTCTTTTATTACAGGTCGCGGGGATAGGGGAGTGCAAGAAATTGCCTAACAAAGCTAGGGTGGCAAACTGTGAAGGGAAGAATTGAGAGTGAGCTGAGCCGAACGAGAAAAAACCCACGAAGGAAAAGAATAGAAAATATGTTTCTGCTTAGCTCTCCTAGCGTAGCTTTGTCTGCTAATAAATGTTCACCCAAATTCACAGCTCCAATTCAACCTTCCTATTCCAATTCCGCTTTCAATCGGAGACCCAAACTCATTTCCTTGAGAAATTATCGGAAACCGTCTCATCTCACTCTTGCCAAGGCTGAGGGAGGCCTACACTCTGGCTCTCTCTCTGCTCCCAAACAATCTCACCCCCGCCGCCTCGCTGAAAGACGCCGTTTTGGTTGGTCAAGAAGATACCCTTTTGGAAGGCGTTATCCAGTTTGAAAAACCCAGCTCCTCTTCTCGTCTTATTTAATGGGGGTAATTTTCCGTTATTTTTACCTTTCTCTTTATGTTCATTTTTTAACTGTTTCAATTGTTATGCAACAGTCGAGTGGCTTTGCTTGCTGGTGGGGATGTGTTTGCTCTGCTTATGTTTTCTGCAATTGGTATATACAATCATGGCCTCCCAAATTTTTCAATGGACAGGCTACGTAAAGCTGACTCTTTCATGGCGGGTACTTTTTCTTTTTTCCTTTAGTTTTTTTCTGTAATTTGAGGAAAAAAAAGATTTCTTTATTTCAGTTTGGTAAAAATGGAAATGTGGATTGATAGGATGGTTTGAGTGCATGCTTCCTTGGTGGCTATGGCGAGGTTGGGCAAGGAGCCAATGGTCTATCCAAAGCCGTCACTGCTGCCGCCAAATCTTAGGGTTTGGGAATTCCTTTTAAGTTTTTTTCTTCTTTTTCCAAATTTGAACTATTCATCTGAACGTAAGTTCATAACAATTAAAACAATTTGTGGGGTTTATTTGTAAGTTAAAAGTTGGGAGAGGGGGACTCAAACTTGAGACCTTTAATAGGAGGTGAGGTATGGTTACATGATTTCTTCAATGATTGTTTCTGTTAAGGTGTCAAATGTTGTGCTTTTGCTGTCTCATCATACTGCTTAGAAGCCTTAGAATTAATAAGTTGATCATGTTGTTTTTGACTTGCCGCTACTAGTTACTTTAAAGTTACATTCCACCCTTTTCTTTCTCTTTTCTAGTTGTTTTTTACATACCTAGCTGACAACTTATCTATGTAAATCATATCCCATTCCTTTTTTTCTCTTTTGACAGTTGGGATTTTGATTATATGTGCTGCAACATCAGGTCATATTCCTCCATATACCTCTGTCTTAGTAACAATGGGAAGCATTTCCGATTTGCTTATTGGTTAGAGAACATTATTGATAACATTTTCCCTATGAAACAAAGAAGAAGAATGATGTATATCAACATGGCAGCCCGTTTGAACTCTTTTGAGGTTTGAGAATTTTTCGTGATTCACCATGTTCATGAAATAATTTTAAGCTTCGCACCTTATGTACACAAGTTCGTTTTAGTGTATTTGGTTATCTACTTTGATTCTGAAATTAAGAAATCATCTTAAAATTAGAGTTGTCTTCAATATGATGGGAGTGCTTCATTCTGAACTTCTTACTTGTTAGTTCTTGCATAACTATGAATTGAAACTCTTATAAAGTACTTCCACCCTGTTTGATTCATTTCAGGTCTTGGAAAATTTTTAAACCAAGGGAAGGTATTTGTTTTCCTTGAAAAAGAAACCAAACTGAAAAAAGACATCTTTTTATGCTTACTCTTTCATTATGAACTGAAAGATGAGATGTATTCAAATCCCTTTATCTAAATTTTGCGGTATACTCCTCTATTATGGTCTTAAGTGCAATATTCAACAAATTGAAGTTAGCATGAAGAATTGGTGTTACTCTTCTGCTCAAACAATGAAGAACACATTCTTAATAGAGATTTGATTACTTTTTGTTGCAGTTGCTCACATCATTGGTATGGAGATGGTAATACCCAACATCTGCCATGAGGTTGATCCCTCAAGACATAAATTTTCTCAATTTTCATGTATACTTGTACTGATCTGGTATGGTTGTAACAGGTAAGAGAAATCTCTTACTATTGTTTAATTTCCAAATTTCAAGGCTGTATTATGATGATGCACTCCTGTGAATATTATCTTTATGTGGTAATTAGCATTATAAGTGTAATGATACTTTTTCTAAAGGAGGGTTCACTATCATTTTTTACTATCTTTTTAGGAACTGCTGCCTTAAAATGGCTTTCTTATTTGTGAATCAATTCGATTTTTCAAGATCAATGTAGCAGGATGACTAACTGTCCAACCTCCCCCCCCCCCCCCCCCAATTAGCAAGCAATAAGAAATAATGAAATGGGATGATAATATTATTACTTTTTATCACAAGAGAGTGAGGGATAATGTTATTGTTGTTTATTGGTAGAGAGCCTTGAGTGAATAGAAGCAGCAATAAGCCTCTTTATGCTTAATTATGAACCTCTGAGCTTAAAAGCTTAAGGTCATTGGTTTAGTTGTTTTGGTTGCGCAATGCAACTGCACTGTTAACCTCTGAGGTGATATGAGGCTTTTCACCCTCTGTTCTTCCCTCTACTTCCCTGACTGAAGATTGTGATTGGCCTGAGTAGCTTATCGCGGTTGCCTTCTGGGCCCAATCACAGTAAACTGAAGCTGATTTCATAACCTACTTAAATCGAACTGGATAACTATAAAATCCTACTTATGGTAAAATGGTTTGAGTCTAATTGGCTATCTGATGCTGGTAGCGTTGTCCCTGAATGTTTCTCTGATTTTTACACTAGAGTACATGATATAGTAGGATAAGCTCTGAAAATCTGCTAATTTCCCTAGCACTATTGCCTGTCTTGCTGGAAAAAAAATATTTTTGTTTAATAACTCCCCATCAATATTTTGTTTTTAGATGTTTGATTATTTCAAGTAAACAGTCGGGATTTAGGAACCACTTAAACTCTCTTTCTTAGTTGTTTTTTAATGCCATTATGGTGGTAAAGCTGAAGCCTTGAAGGATATTGTTGGTGGGCTGTATCTTTTGTTTAATGTCGGAGGTTAACAATGATAACATATTAGTCTATTACTGAGGTCTTTTGATTTCCGGAGGAAGATGCTCCCCGATTAATTGAAACATCACCGACAGCGCCACTTAATTGGAATTGGGAGTCCATATCTATGAAGTTTTTGTTGTGTAATAATCACTATTCAGGGGGGTTCTAGGATTGGAAAAGGCCTTTCTATGCAAATCGGCGAAGTGACAGATTGGACAAGGCCTTTTAAGGCAACAAAAGAGCATAGCGATTGGGGTTGGGTGGGCTCATCGGCTGGTAAATAGAAGAGTAAGTGGGTAGATGTGTGAATTTCTTCGGTAGGAGTCTAGGAGATCCCTATAAGCCGTCACAACAGACCATCTTGTTGGATGTTGGTTGCTTGCTTCACGAAGCGTCCCATCAGCCTTAGAATATGCTTATACAAAATCAAAACCACTTGTTTTTCATTGATTTTTTCCCCTTCGCTTTTCTTTCTCTGTAGGCAACAGATGGCCCGGGTACCCTTTGGGTTTTTCTATTTGACCAGCGTTCAGTCCTTGATGTTTCATTTGGTTACCATCGCCATATCACATCATCATTCGGTGTTTTGACTAATGGGCCTGCTGCATTTGCCATACCCATTACCACCCACTAGAAATATACCGTCGAGTCAATAACACTGTATTACCATTTGCTGTACAAAATAAACCTCCCAAATTCCACTTGAAAGTATGTTCTTGCATTTCCTGTATTTTGTTTATGTCTTTTTTAACCAATTATCTTTAATTCAGGTAAAATTTCGTTAAGCATGTCACTGAAAAAAAAAAAAGGGATACTAAGTCTAACGTCAACGAATAAGTTGGAGATCCTTTTCTTTACATTCCCTTAAAGTCAATAACATGTTTGCTCTTAAAAAAAAACATTACTAAAAAAGAAACATCCTTCATAGTTTTCTGTCATTAACAAGCAAAGATTAAAGCAAAATGGATGACATTTTAAAGCCATGTAGCATTCAAAAACATAAAGGCACATTTGGGTATCTTGGGGAGTGGGGATGCCGTGATATGGGGCAGAAATTACTGCTGAAAAAGAAAGCTCCATATCCCTGACCCACCTCTCTTTTTTTTTTGGTTTTGGAATTCCTCCAACCACAAGTCTCTCTTACACCCTTTTTTCACTCTTTTGGGACTCAATAGAGTATAGAGTGATGTCTTAGGATATGCCATGTTTAATTGATTTGCTTGCTTCTGGATTTAAATGATCATCAGTTTCTTTTGTTTACAAAAGAAGCCAGTAGTCTGTTCTAGTGCATCAAAGCCAAGCTGTCTCTGAATTTGCTCTCTTAATTGGAAGAAGAAAAGACCCCTCTTGGGGAAACAAAGAGAGAGAGAATCTAAGCTGATTTTGACATGTCATCAATGGTTCAAGGAGCCCAAAGTAGTGACAAATAGGAAAAGGTGTGGGAAGGTAAGGGTTAAAAACAACTTTAATTGTCAGGAATGCGAGGGACTCTTAATTAAAGCCTCGAGGCTTCAGCTTCAGTGAGAGGTTGAGGAGTAATAAAGCATCAAGTATATACGAGAGAGAGAGAGAGAGAGGGAGAGAGAGGGAGAGAGAGAGAGAAAAGAGCATATTCAAACAGCTAAAGAAACAGTGAATTACAGAGCCACAGCTGTTTTTGTCCTTGTGATTGTGAATTGGGGTAGCCTGGCCATCCCTCCCCACCCCCCAGTGATCTCATAAAATCCACTTTCTTTTCTCTTTTGGCCCCCCTTAGTGGCTATTGGCTCTTACTGTGAATCTTTCTCTAGATTTAGTTTGGATTTTGTGTTCTCACGTGATTCTAATAACTCCTTCCCGCATTTAATTCCATCCTTCCCTTCCCTTCCCTTCCCCTCCGGCCTCAGCTAGACCTCAAGGTTTAACAGAAGTTCCAAACCTTGCATGCCTTAAGCATATGCTGTCTATTTCACAGAAACCATGAGTAAATAAAAGAATTCCCAAATTATCCACTGTTGGGATTTTGGTTTGACTTAAATGGTTTTGCCAAAGATTTTTGTCCTAAAAGGACCAACTACCAAGCAAGCTGGAAGCAGACTGTGCTCAACATGTTGTTTTATAGATTTACCCTTTCTTACAATCAGGGCAGGCTGCTTGGCTTGTCTTGTCTTGAGTTCCAAACTGATATTCTGTGTGAATTATCTCTATTCTCTCTATATGGAATAAATCACATATTTAAGCGTATCAATGTTGTAATTGATTGTTGAATACGAGAAAAATATCTGGCCACATATTTTGCTGAAGGCTGTTTCTTCTCTGCGGTGAAAACACTTTAATTCTTATTGACAATTATCTGATTGACACTGGAATGATCGTTATCAGATTAGAACCACATGATTTGGTATAATTTTTGTTGTTTATTTATTAAAACGCATTTAATTGTTCCCTGGTTTAAAATTCTGTATGGCGCAAAGGAGTCCAATGTCCTTTGATCTCATTAAAAATGGACTGACTCGCACTGAGGAGAAAAGCTTTTTCTAATGCAAACTTTTCTCTACATTTTTTTTGTCTCTTTAAACAGTGCTGTCTGTTCTTTTATTTTGCCTATTTTCTTTTCTCTCCTGCTGCTTGTAAGGTCCACATCTCAGACTAAATATAAGCCTACGTGTTAAAGAATCGGACAAAAATGGCTCACTATTATCGTTTGCTTTGGGTGACTCCTTTCTTTCTCCTCACTTTCATTTGTATATTATGACAGTAATCTCAACATTCACTTAAATTAAGGCTTTGATAATGGAAGATTAACATGTGTTTGTACTGTAGAATAGTGGAATTGATGTGTAAATGGGGTCGGCAGTTCGCTTATCGATAAATATTTGATTCTAGACTTGTGTTAATTTCTTTCATTCCGCTTTGAAAATGGATAATTAAAATTTTGGGGTTTAGCTGGCTAGAAGATACATATTGATTCCACTTCGATCGTACTCTCCTAATGCAAGGCCAGGGCAGGTAAAATAGTGAGCCACAGAGCCTGGTAAGGTGGAGACCGTGGGGCTTATCTAGTGGTAACAAAAAAATGAAACAACCCTACCACATTTGCTTCTCACTGAAAAGGTTGGTGAAAATGAAAGAATGAAAGTGAATTTAAAGACGGGCAGGCAGGGAAGCTCTTTGCCAAGCCCATGCACTAATTCATGAAACAAGTTAAAAAAAAAAAGAGATCAGTGCTTTTTTGTTTTTCTGCTGTGGGTGTTGATGGATTCACTCATCATTGCTAAATAATCAAAAGAGTCCCCTTCCCACCACTGCACACACACTCTCCATGGTACAACTTCCCCTTTCCCTCCCAAACTCAGTCTTCTTTTGAAGGGTTCAAACCAAATCATTTACATTTGAAAATCTGTCTCATGATTACCTTCATGCAGATCTCCATGCAAAAATGCCAGAACCCCACCCCCTCCCCCAGTCCCCCCCATATAAAAAAACCTCAGCAAGTGATCTTAAGCGGCTAAGCCCAGATAAAAATAAATGAAAGAAAATAAAATCCAACTTTGCTTTCCTTTTTGCTAGCTCCCTGCCACTTAGAAGAAAAAACAAAAAGAAAAGGGTAAAAAGGAAAAGTTGACCAACAAAAGGAGAGTAAGAATTAACGAGAAAAAAATAAGACTAACCCATTAATTAAATTACAGAAACAATCAGTACCAAAAGAAAAAAGAAAAAAAAACAGAAACAATAAACCATTAGTAATCTGTCTTTAATCATGTTGCCTGTGTAATATTGTTTAATTTTGCGTAATGCAAATGATATATAGTTCCATTAGCTTTTGCGTTTCAGATAGTGGTAGCAATGAAGAAAACACTAGCAGAAGAAAAAGGAAAGAAAAAAAAACTAGCATCTCCACACTGAAATGCATGTACCAGAGTGTGTACACTCTACAGAGAAGACGTATTTAAATGAAAAAGATTACACTTAGATGGGAAATAAAATGGGTTCTTTTCTTTTACAAAAAGCTTTGGTATTTTGGGGGCCCTTTGCTCTCATCATACCCGGAATATTTCAAGTTCGTTACAGACCCACTTCCCACTTTTTGTCTGGAAGCTGGTGCTGACTAGACATTACAATATTTTTTCTACGAGAAAGCAAATGGAGTTTTTTGTTCTTCTTTTACCAATTGGTTTTCAGGAACTCAGTTCCACGCGCTTACGGCCGGCCAATTTTTTTTTTTTGGATAACCAAACGGCGGGGGCCAACTTTGTACGTCCAATCTGTTCTGAATTTTAGTCATTCAGGCTTTGTCGAGCATTATTCAATCCTTCCTGTATATCTATATACCAATAGGAAAAGGCTATTGTCAAGAGGCTGCTACAGATTTTTTTTTTTTTTGGTAGTTGAAATGGGCTGCAAAGGTTTGCTTTTCTTGCTGCAAAAACTTGCATTGGCAACAAAAAAAAAAAAGAGACAATAGGCAATATAGAACATCTTTTGCTTCATTTCTTTTTTTTTAATTGTTTGATAGGATTTTCTTTATTGCTTTGCAGACAAAGCAATTTTCCTGCGTCTTTGCTAGCAGCAAAAAAATCCAGCTCTACCCTTTCTTCCTATCAAATATAAAGAAAAACTTGGTTTCCTGTCACCCTAGCATAACAGTTGAGGATCACAGCCAAGTTCATTGCTGTCAGATGAATAAAGCACAAGTTCAGTAGAAGTCACATCAGATGAGCCACTCAATACACCTTTCTTTATCAAAATATAAGGTGGGTGATAGGCTGTGACCATTTTATGGTCACAGTTACAAAAAATATATATATATATATATATTTGAGGGTTTCTCTAAATAATAATACTACTACAACTGCTACTTCTACTAATCCTATTAGCTTTTGTGGGTTTTGTCTTATAGCAATATTTTCTTCTCCTTTTTGAAATGAAAGCTGTGAACCAAATTGGAGCAGTATTCTAGTTGAGAGGGCAGGCAAACAAAAAACATTGGATTTAATTTGGATCCTTTGTGAGTTTGCAGAGTGGCACAGAAGGCTGTACTGTATGAAGTGACTGGATGGGCAGTGTCCTGCCCGTCAAATCTATCTAAGGCCCTGTGACTGTAAAATTAAAGCAAACCAGTTTTGCTTATCTGACCACCCTTCTCGCTATCTCACACCCCACTAGCTTCAACTGACAGGTTCTAGCTGTCATCGGAGAGAGAGAAAAAAAAAAAAAAAAACAAAAAGGATGGTTGTTGTTTCTGGGTTTTTTACTTTCTTTTACTGTGTAGGTGAGTTTATAGCGGCGCATTTGAGAAACTGAGGGGAGGTTTTGTGAGTTTAAGCAAAAAGGGTTTTTGGTGTTATGTTTGTATCTGGGATTTTTGAAGCGTTTAAGAGAAAGTGTCAAGGAAAAAAAAGAAATAAAAAGTAAAGAGGGAATGGAAGTGAGGAAGGAAAAGTAAAAGGGACGTGGTCCTTCTCATATACACAGATCCCTATGGAATGAAGGAGCGCCCCAACCGGCATTGCTTGGTTGAATTCATTCTTTTTGTTTAGTTTAAAGAGACCAATTTTGTTCTCTTGAGAGAGAGAGATAGAGAGAGATTGTGTGTGTGTGCATAGATTAAAGAGTTCTGCGCTGTAGAAAATGTTGTTGTATTGAGTTTCTGCTACTAGACAACAAAAGACCAAGCTTTCAGATAGGAGGGAGGCAAGAGATTTCCGTATGATTAGATTATTTTCGCTTCAATGATTGAGTTGCCTTGCAGCTGGGTATATAACTGCTGAGGAACTTCAGAGTGGGAAAAGAAAGAGAGAGCAGAAGAAGAAGAAGATGAAGACTATGAACGACAATAGCAATGGCTGCAATAATAACTGGTTGGGTTTCTCTCTTTCACCTCACATGAAAATGGAAGTAGCTATTGATCCCCAACACAGTCATCATCAGTTCCATCACCATAGCCAAGCTTCAGCTGCTGCTTCTGTATCTAATGCTGTTTCTACAAGCTTCTACTTGTCTTCTCACCTCAATGGTTCTGGCATCTGCTGTGAAGTTGGAGAAAGTGGAGGTTTTAACGCTCCCTTGTCTGTTATGCCACTTAAGTCAGATGGGTCTCTATGCATCATGGAAGCACTCAGCAGATCACAATCAGAAGGTTTGCTTCAGCCTTTTTGCATGTTTTCCTATTTACTGCTTTGGGATTAATCTTATTTGCTTTTCTAGTTGTTCTAAAACTTCTATTCTTCAATCCTTTTTTGTGTTAAAAGGGATTGTCCCTACTTCATCCCCAAAACTGGAGGACTTTCTGGGTGGTGCAACTATGGAAACGCATCAATATGGAAGCCACGAGAGAGAAACAATGGCTCTGAGCTCAGATAGCATGTACTACCACGAAAATACAGACCAGGAAGCCAACAGACAGCATTCTCTGTACCTTCTTCAAGAACCGTTTAGGCAACAAGACCAAGAGTTTGCGGTTCAAACTCATCCGTATTATTCAGGACTGGGCTGCCAAGGCATGTATCAGTCACCATTGGAGGAAGAAACTAAGGATGCTCAACTAGCAGACTGTGATTCCCAGATTTCTCGAATGCAGGAAACAATGACTTGCTTTAAAAACTGGGTATCTAGGCACTACAACAATAGTTCACTGGAACAGCAGATGACTGCTAGCATGATTGATGATGGGGCAGCTTCAGGGTCTGTTCGTGCAATGGGTTGCGGGGATTTACAGTCTCTCAGTTTGTCTATGAGCCCTGGTTCTCAGTCCAGTTGCGTTACAGCTTCAAGACAGATCTCACCTCCTGCCACTGAATGCGCGGCCATGGAAATAAAAAAGAGAGGGTCTGGAAAAGTGGGTCAGAAGCAACCTGTTCATAGGAAGTCCATTGACACATTTGGACAGAGAACTTCCCAGTATAGAGGTGTCACCAGGTCAGCTCCTGTTGTTCCTTTAATCCAGTACATTTCGTTCTTGGTCATGTTGACAGTATCGTAACTGTTTTCCTTACCTCACTGTTTAGTCCTTTATATTCATTCCATTATGCTAACGTTTATCAGTGCATCTTTCCGTATATTATTATATTCTGAAATATCTCGTTTTCTTTTTTCTCTGAATGTTCGAATAACCTTTATCAAATTGACTTCACCAGACATAGATGGACAGGTAGATTTGAAGCTCATCTCTGGGATAACAGTTGCAAGAAGGAAGGGCAAACCAGGAAAGGGAGGCAAGGTTTGTTTACGGTTTCCGTTTGGAAGTATTCTTTCTTTTGACTGCAATTCTTGGTCCGTCCTGTCTTAATGACCTGACTTGTATTATTAATTCCTTCTTGTCATGTTCGTGCTCCTCGTGGATGGCATTTCAATCAACTCATGCATTTTCAGTTTATCTGGGTAAGCCAAGCCCTCTTAACCTATAGTAATCAGAATTGCAATAATAATCTTGATTTAATCTTTTATTAATCTAGTTTGCAAATGAATTTCAGGTGGCTATGACATGGAAGAGAAAGCTGCTAGAGCTTATGATCTTGCGGCCCTTAAGTATTGGGGACCTTCGACGCATATAAATTTTCCAGTAAGTCAAAACATTGTCAAACTATATTTGATCATATGAGTTGCTCAAAATTAATAATTTTGATTACATAAAGAAATCATATGATTGTTTTCTGGTTGCTCATTGCTCTCGGCAGCTTGAAAAATACCGAGAAGAACTGGAAGAAATGAAGAACATGAGCCGCCAGGAATATGTGGCCCATCTAAGAAGGTTGGTTTCTTATATTTTTTGCATTCTAAGTCCTATTTTTATTTTTTTCTGCTTGCTATGTCTTGATGATAAGTGAATATATTCCTTTTTATTTACAGAAAAAGTAGTGGGTTCTCCAGAGGGGCCTCAATGTACAGAGGAGTAACAAGGTTTCTATTGCTTTTTATTTCCTTTTATGTCACTGAACCTCATCAATTTTATCTTCTTCGGGAGATTTCATGTAATGATTCCTTTTTCTTTTTTTTGTAGACATCATCAGCATGGAAGATGGCAAGCACGCATTGGCAGGGTTGCTGGAAACAAGGACCTTTATCTTGGAACATTTAGTGAGTTCTTGATAGTTTTGATTCTCATGCAAACAACATTTCTTTTCTTTGCATTTTCTTTTGTCAATTCTCATTCCTAGTTCAAATCTATTGGCTCTTCCATGGCATAAAGAACTTTTAAAGGGCTTATTTGTAAGCATATCTACTCATATGTTTCCACTAGAGAATTGTGATGCTTTTACAAGGATGATGACAGTTGCTTTAAAAACTGAACTTTTCTGATTTCAGTTGCAATGAACTTTTTTAAGGCTGTTTTCTCTGGTGAGCTGATAAAAAAGATGGGAAAAGAAAAGAATTTCTTAGGCTAAAATGCTTATTAATCAAAAAGCTTAAATCTTTTGACCAAAGCTTTTCTGGAGATCAATGTTTCTAGCTTTTGATTTCAGGCACCCAAGAAGAAGCAGCTGAAGCATATGACATTGCTGCCATAAAGTTCCGCGGTGTAAATGCTGTGACAAACTTTGACATAACAAGATATGATGTCGAAAGGATCATGGCCAGCAATACCCTGCTTACGGGAGAGCTAGCTAGGCGAAACAAAGAGGCAGATTCGAACAATGAGGCCAGTGATAACAATACACCATCACTAACCAATGGAGAGACCGTTCAACCTGAAGTCAATAATGGGAATGGTTTAGACCGGAAGATGGCCTTGTATCCATTGCCACAGCAACAACCAAGCGTTGATGATGTTGTGTCACTTGAGCAAAAGTACATGAGTACCGGAAGTTATCGAAATCCCTCTTTCTCGATGGCCCTCCAAGATCTCATAGGAGTTGATTCAGTGAGCTCTAGCCAGCCAATGGTGGATGAATCCACCAAGCTAGGAACGCATTATTCTAATCCAACTTCGTTGGTAACCAGTGTAAACAACTCTAGAGAAGGCAGCCCAGATAAAACAGGCCCCAAAATGCTCTTTGCTAAGCCTCCCTTGGCATCAAAGTTCATTACTCCAACAAATGGTGTTAGTTGGTTCCCATCAGCAGCATCTCAGCTGAGGCCTGCTGCGGCCGTCTCAATGGCTCACTTGCCTCTTTTTGCTACCTGGAACGATACATAAAATCCTCTTTTCTCCTGTTACCGGAAACATTTGAAATTTTGCCTGAGGAAGAAAAATTAACAAAAATCTGTTGGTAAGGGAAAAGTATGATCCTGATTTTGTTTTTTTAGGAGTTAGTGGGAGGGAATTTGGGATTTAATCAAAAGACAAGGGTGGGGGTCACTCATCTGCCTGGTAACAAAAGTGTTGGAAACTTTTTTTCAAGCTGTACCTTTTGGCTCATTGGAATGAAGATTTTACAAAATGCAGGGAAGGAATTAGGAGATATGGGGCCTAATGTTTAAATTCTATGGAATGATATTGTCTATATTGCTGTTATATAATTGAAGTTGCTTTTCTACATTTTTATAGTTGTTGCCAAGTACAAAACCAGCCCAATCTTTCCCAATAATGCAAAAGGAGAGCTTATTTTGACCGCAATATCTCGTATCAGTCCCACCGGTTTGTTCCTCAAATCCGCGTTGCACTATCAAAACAATCCCACCTTTTTTGTTCCTCAAAGGAAAAGGACCTTCCACCTCATTATTTAAAAAAGGGGGCAACAGATTCTCAAAACAAAGACTTTATTAGCAAGTTTTATTTTAAAGATTTAATGGTCATAATTGGCTAGGACTTTGTCTGCAACTACATCAATTATCAACTTTGTAAAGGACTAAAGACATAGTTTTATTGTTAAAATTCCCTTTAGCTTTTTCCTAATTCCATGATGTAAACCGACGATGATAAAAAGCGATTCCATGTCCTGGTGTGGACGCTAGAAAGAGATGATGGATTGGTGTGAACTGAGAGAGAAAATCATCCCCCCACTCCCTCGTGCGGATACTGCAGCTGCTTCATCAATTTGCATGTCTGAGTTGGATTGCAATCGTAGAAGATTAAATTGTTGGAATTGAACTGATAGGATGACAGGGAGGAATATGTGCCGCAAAAGCTGGAGGTTGAATAACCCTATTCTCATTATTTTAACTCATAAAAGTCCACACTTCAGACAACATACAAGAAGTTATACACTACTTTTATCAACTTGATCCGAGGATAGATTTATAAAAAGAATAACCATGGTGGAATATGTGGTTAATTTACTTAACCTCAAAACATGCATTTCATAATAAGTTAATAACTTTCTATGAAAATAATGACTTAAATTTTAAAATTTTTTAAAAACTCAAACAATATAAAAAAATTATTAGGCAACAAACCTCAATAAATCGAAAGAAATATTAATAGTAACTGTATAGGGAAGCATAGTAAGAAAGAACTGTTGGTTATTGCCAGTTGGTTAATGAATGATATTGTCAATTATTTCGTGGTTTTGCATTTGGGCTGGCCAGAGATGCCCTACAGCAATTGCATCACAAGGAAACTCTCTCATTGCTTTTTTGAGAGAAATTAAATCAAGCTTTGATTAGACAAGCATAAAAGAAAAAAGGATAACAAAGAAAAGGTCACAGTGAAGCGATTGATGGTCAAAAAATTGCTATTCTTTGTGGAAAAAAGTTTGCAAAGTGAACAGATACGTCTTATTTCTAACAAAAAAGTAAAAACACCGGTATGAATTTTCTGCAAAATCAAACCCCTCCTTTGAGTTTTGTCAAACAGATATAATTACAATGCTCGTTGTTGACAGCTTGGAATGGTGAAAACATAGTTTTCCGTAGGACAGCATTGGAAAAGTAATAATTGGTTAATCTTAGTTGTGCACGAGCTGGATCATAGCAGCTTATCATGATTTCCAGATTCAATCTTCAAGTGTTTTGATTTTCTGTTTCTTTTTTGTTAGGTGATTGAACTTTATAGTACTGCATGCAACAATATCAAGAGGGAAATCTTATTTGAAATGCATGGGAAGTGGAAAACTATTATCCAAAGTGATGCACAGCCACTGCATCAAAATCCTAATATCAAAAACGTTTTTTTATTTAAAAAAAAAAAAAGAGAGAAAAGGGAAGATTTTCCTGTTCATTGTTCAACTTGTTTTTTTATCCTTTCATTCATCTTCTTCGTCCTGTTAATTAATTGACAAGGTGTGAAACTAACAGTGAACTTGCTGGAGATGCAGAATCTTTGGGGCTCGTATGAAGTACCAGACATGTGCTTAAAGGCACACTGAAAGGCACAAATCCAATTGGGTTAGAAAAAAAAAAAATTTTGTCTTTGAACCTCAGGTTAATAGCCCTAATTCTTTGAATCTGTCTCAAGTATTCAAAAAAATAAAACGGATCAAAGCAATATCACGTTGTTACTTGTACTGTGTACATAATCCTTGAATAGTCGAAACTCATTTAGCAAAAGCTGAATTTTATTGTTAGAGCAATATAAATTGTTGAGACAATAAATGGTCCCATAAGTTTTAGGGGCCCCAACTCCATATTCCTCCATATTGCCAATATACGTGACCAACGGCTCACCCGAAGGCGACCCAGGTTCAGGTGGTGCAGGTATTTGTCCAATATTTTGATAGGGAAAGAATAGGGGGATGTCCTGTGTGGAGGAGTCTTGTTTCTTCGAGGGAGACCTTAAAAACCAGTGGCTCTTTCTCCACCCCTTTCCTTACCTGCCTATGATTTGGACTTGTCCTTCATTTCAAGATTTTCATGTCAACTTGGAAGGACATGATGAGACGAAACTCATAATCTAATATCGGAACAAACAAAATTGAAAGATTCTGGCTTTTCTCACGTTCTCTTTCTCCCTTATTTTTTGTTCGAGTGGCAGATAAATTTTGAAAGATTCTTTAAGCCAAATTTATCAGGACATTAAAGTCTAGGACCAATTTCAGAGGTGGTAGATGAAAACTCCACCCAACCGGTAGACAATGCTAGATAAAACGGCCATTGATGCACCATTGTCACGTCGGCCCCAATTTTTAACTATTATATATCCTTTCACATTTACTTTTTAAAGTTTCTGCATTTCATTGTTCATTTCAAGTTTTGAAATTTGGGTGTTTCAAATACATACGAGAAAGAGATGTAACACAAGGATGAATGGATGAGGTAACAATAGCTCTAGGGCCCGGTTCACCAGACATGGTTGCTTCTATATTTGTCATCATCCTCGTTCATTCATTGCAATCAGTTGTCTCTCGTTTTGCTGCTTGCTAGGAATTCTTGTCTCTTCCATCACTGTCCCACCTGTCTCTTGAGTGCAAGATAAGAGCACCAGACTTTACCTTTCGTACATGCAACCCTTTTGACATTCAAATGGATATTATGGATGAATTTCATTCTGGGTGGCTGAGGCAGTAAAAGTAAATTTATCGACTAATTCTAGATTTGAACTCTGAGATTACTTATTATCAAGGCTAAACATAATCAACCATTCAGTCAATTCTTTATTGGTCTTTGATGAATTCCATTTAACATCATACAAAATTTTCAACGTAAAAAAGTATGGACTATAGAGTAGTAAATAAATAAAAATCCCAATAGATTATGATGATATGATGAAGATGATAAAATGAATGGCTCGGACAAGATTGAGGTGACGGTCCGTGCAGGTGGGCTGTGGGTAGCCAGTGACTGGGGCTGCGGCATAGCCCCCACCGTTTCAGATCACATGTATACATCAGTTCCAGACGGAAATACTCACTACCAAAGAGACAGAGGGAGAGAGCCCATAAAATAAATTAAGAGTTGGACCTGTCAACGTCCCGAATCTAAGTGAGTATCTTTTGGTCCGACTCTTCCAGCATAGAGTGTTTTTCTGCCTCGTGATCACTGCTGTGGTTTTAGTTCAGAAGATTAATTGCGTGCAGGTGGCTAATGGCATGTGGCATTGCTACGCCGTCTCTGTCACCGCACCGCCGTGAGCCTGTCTGTAAATTTGTCTTTTCTTTTAACTCTAGATCCATGCTATGCACTCTCTACTCGTTTAGCCTCCTGTTTCCTGGCCCGTACTCCGTAAAATCACGCAGAATCTTTGCCATTGTAGTCTATCCATTAACTTCTTGTACCAGATTCGTCAGTCATTTGCTTTTTCTGGGCCCAGTCTTTTAATGGGTCATCTAACTTTGTTCTTAGCCCTATTCTGGATTCTTTTTCTATCTTAAGGCCCATTCGGTTTTCTAGCTCATTGGATCTGATTCTATAACCAAACTTCAGAAGCCCAGTGTTGGTCCAATTAAGAAAATAAATTGCTCTTGCTTTATCTTTCCTGGGTTAAAATGGCCTGTTCATTCCATCCATTTCTGCCTGAAATTCTCTCATTTGTATAGGTTGTCATTGTTTTTCTTGTGACAAAGATTTGAATAAAGGGCAGATTATTTAAAAGCAAGCACTGTGGATTGATAATGATTGCACAATTAATACCGTCTAACTGAACAATGCTTGGCATTACAGGAAAACTATTGCAGTACATCTTGCTTTCCATCATAAAATATTTGTGTAACGAAAATGAAGATCGGTTGGCCAAAAAAGCTAGCTAAATTAATCCTTGTCATGAAGATCAGCTGAGGAGTTAGTGAGGACCACATTCAATCAGGCTCACAATGTTCAATCATTGTTTCCTATTGAATGTTCGATCAGAGTTTTCATTTTTCAATGAATAAAGCATCGTTAGTAAGAAACCTGCCATATCCATGGTGTTATGGCACTGCCCATTTTTATTTTGTTTTGGGTCCATATTTTGTAAATGATCTGACTAAGTTGGTCCCTGATCAGCCTCGCCAAACTTTTCCTTCTTTTTGTGGGCCTCAATCTAATTATATGCCACTGTAATCAGGATCTGACTTCATTGCTTACTTTATTGGCAACTTGACTGTCATTTCCATAGTTTTGCGCTTTTGCGTTTCTTCTTGTTTTAGTTTTTAAGTGCGGAATTGGTTGTGTTCTACGTACAAAATATGCACTTATGTTTGCCCTTGGAATAACCCTTGCGATACTCATCTTGTTGTGAGAGTAATCTTATAAATAGAATACTTACTAACTTTTATTTGTTCAAAAAAAAAAAAGATTAACATTTTTTTTTGGTAGGAAACTGAAACTTTGTACCATACTATTTTATAAAGATTAACATTTAACCCTGCTCAAACCTGAGTTTTTTGCCGTTGGTGAGAATGTGATAATCCTTAAACACCAACATGAAGTTTAACGACAGGGAATTCCCTCTACTGTGGGGCAATGTCAAATATGAAAAGACATTGTTATGTCGATGGTTTCCAGTATTTAAAGTTTGAGGTACAATAATTTCCCCCCCCTTTTTTTTTGTTCGACAACAATCAACTTTATACTGTTGTCTGTTAGATAGTTAATAGACAGTTGAAACAAATGGACCCTACACACGAGGCAGAGTGTACCGTTTTTTAGTGTTCTAAACTTCATTCCTGAGAGAAATAACCTTGATTAAGCTTGAATGAGATTTTGAGAAACAAATCTAGTCCAGAAAAAATCCACAGATCCAGCCCATTTGGCCATTTGAGATTTTCCAATTGGTGGACGATTGTTCATTATCAATCCTGCTACTTATTTTTTAATGACTTTGCCATAAGTAGTTTCTGAGGATTACTTAATATTTACGTATCTATCGGAGCTTTCATTTTCAGCCACCCACCCCAACCATTGCTCTGCATGGCACGAGGCCATGACATTAACAAAACGATGCTAGTTTTGCAGATGATTAATTGTGAAGCGGAGGCCTGCAGGAGTGAATGAACATCACTCCATGACCTTGTCAGTGGCTTAGAACATGACCAGGATTTTCAGCTTCCCTAGGTATTATATATTTGTTGATCTGGCAACCAATGCTGGAAAATCAACATTTTGTAGACAAGGGCGGTGTCCTGTGTGGGCTTAAGTACCCGCTGAACAAAAAAGAAATTAAAAATCATGTCTCTTAGGTACAATTCAAGAAATCTTCACAGTTATAGCTAGTTATTAATGCTTTTTTGGCTCATCTTTTAGCTTTTGTAAACTAAACTTTGGTAGTATTTTCAACTGTTTCAA